TTTGACATTAACTTTAAATAATTGTCGGACTTTGTCCATTTCATAATGTATGACGCCATTTGTTTACATTTGATACGCCATGAGCAGATATGAATGTACGGGAGAGATTCATGTAAGATTGAAGTTTATAAGTAGTAAATTCGACCTTGCCAATCGAACGATCCTTTGTCGGACTTTGTCCATTTCATTGTATATATATATATATATATATATATATATATATATATATATATATATATATATATATATATATATATATATATAATATACAAATCACCCCAAACAAGGCAGGAGTGCCACTAGCACGCAAGGAGTTACAGAGAGTGAGAGTAAAATTGAAGAGGAGTGTTTGGTAAAAGGATAAAGAGGACAGGGGTCAAGGTCAAGGCATTAGAAGATGTCGATTGACATTACATTTGAATATTTGAAGATTATAGCTATCAGGGAAGCAAGCGATAGGAAGGAAGTTCCATTGATGGGAGGTGCGAGATAAGAAGCTGTTGGAGTAGAAGAGGTGGCTACATTTAGTCGTTTCGACAGTGAAAGGGTGGGACCGAGATGCCAACCTAGTAGCACGCTTAAATTCATGCAGTTTGGGAACCAGTGAAAGTAGCTCGTTAGAGCAGTTGCCATGAAAATATCTGTAGAAAAGACAGAGGAAAGCCACAGCACGTCAGTGAGATAGCGACAGCAAGACGGGATGCCAGATCAGGACCAACCACGTTGCATATCCATTTTTGGATTTTGTCGAAGATCTCGAGATGAACAGCGGGGGCAACAGGCCATATATGGTAGCAGTATACCATGCAAGGACGAATTGTTGATTTGTAGATTTGAAGGATGGACTCCGGTGAGAAAAACCTTCTAGCGCGACACAGAGGACAAACTTTCCTTTAGGTAGATGAAGCTATAGATTCAATGTAGTTGTTCCACTTCAGGTGTTAACACTCTATAAATATTACTTATTGTTGACCTATCTACATTAGAATGAACTCTTCTTCCTTCATAAATACTAACCTGCGAGACTTCCTAAGGAGGCAGTCTGAACGCAGTTTTCTGATTGTTTGCGACTTCTGTCGAAGTCTTTGCTTTGACAGAGAGGAACCCGGACGAGGCTGTGCCGAAGGGCAAAGTTTCGTCCGGGGAGGTAAACAGATCCCGAACCCGCTTATGCGGGTTCTAAGGCAATATTTTTGGCCGAGCCTACGGGCTCGGAGAAACCCACGTTAAACTCGGCCTTGTGCCACATGCATTCCTCGTGGTGGGGGACTGTAAAATATAGCAGTCGGAACGCAGTCTCTGACTGTGTGCGACTTTCTGTCGAACTCTCTGCTTTGGCAGAGGAAACCGGACGAAGCTTTGCCAAAGGGCAAAGTTTCGTCCGGGAGGTAACAGACCCCGAACCCGTTTATGCGGGTTCTAATGGGATATTTTGGCCGAGCCTACGGGCTCGGTGAAACCCACGTTAATCTCGGCCTTGTGCTACATACATCCCTCGTGGTGGGCACTGTTAAATATGGCAGTCGGGACGCAGTGTAACCTGTCAGTTTGGACGGATACTTTTATCTGCTGACTAATAACACTCTTATTATATATATATATATATATATATATATATATATATATACACATATGTAAAATATATTTTTTTAAATAATGTTCACTCTGTTGACCCAAGAGCCAATCAACGTAGAGAGTATGAATCCACCTTTTCTCCCCCAGCTTTGGATTAATCGGTAAGTCTTGGATCAGTAAAGAAAAGGTTGATAATTGGTAGAAAACCAATCAATAAGTTCCTCATACTAAATTTGCCATTACCCCAAACGCTGACACAACAATTTACGTCATCCGCAGCTGCCCAAGTCGTTTTATTCAGTTTTGTATTAAAGAGACACATCTTTTCTTATATATTTTATACTCGAAGAAGGTTGTAGAATGGATCGGCTGAAACGTTTTGGGAGAAGGGAAGCAGTAAGAAAAAGCATTCCATAGTCCGAATGACTCTTGCAATTTTTTTTTCGGGATATTAAAAGAAACAAGAACTGTATTAAACTTATAAGGGGGGGGGGGTCACAGTGACGTTCGGGCTGGAATTTATCATTATTGTTGTTTATATATATATATATATATTTTTTTTTGTGAACAGTTGCTTTGGGGAAGAATGGGGTGGGGCACCCCAGTCGACATTTTTTTGTTGCTTAGTCTCCAGACCCTCTCATTTTCTTATTGTTTATTACAAATTTCACTTCTAAACTCTGGTCACGTTTGCAAACACAAGGCTGAACTCATTTTTTTTTTAAACTGAAAGCAAATTCGGGACAAGCACAGTGATTTATATCCTTGTATCCTTATTATAATTTTTTTTAGTTTCTTTATAAAAAAAAAAGAATGATGTAATTATTTTAAGAAGACTACCATAAAAACTTCCATCATGACGGCGACTAGAAACTCTGCAACAATCTATAATATTAGCCTTCATGAGTGACCGTTGCTGGTTACTATATGGGATCAAAGTGTAGTATCTGTTCTGTCTTTTGCATTTCTCAACTGGAATCATCTGCAATTGTACAAGGCCCAGAACCACTCGGGGGTTACTAAGTAATAGGCAGAGTTTATATGTATATGCAAAGAAGAAAACATTTAAGCCTAGACTTAAACATGTTAATTGGTTTGCTTTGTTTTACGCAAGCATATCAACCTCAATGCGTTATTAATGCTGACAAGATGTTTATTTTCTGGTAATATTTTATCTATCTACCTATCTCTCTCTCTCTCTCTATATATATATATATATATATATATATATATATATATATATATATATATTTTTGTCTATCTATCTCAGTATACATTGCTTTGTTTTGCCTTGTTTTACCGCATATCAATCTCAATGCATTATTAATGCAGACAAGATTTAAATTTCTGGTAATATTTTCTCTCTCTCTCTCTCTCTCTCTCTCTCTATCTATATATATATATATATATATATATATATATATATATATATATATATATATATATATATATATATATTGGTTTGGTTTGGTTTGTTTTACGGCATATCAACTTCAATGCTTTATCTATGCCGACAAGATTTTTATTGCTGGTAATATTTTTTTCAAAAAGAGGTATTGCTTG